GATTATGATATATGAAATTTAAAATGCAAAAAGTAGCCTTAACTCTAATTTTTTAAAAGTTAATTGTAAACATAATAAGTTTGCATCTGCATAATCAAAATATATCGTTAACTCACAAGATTTAAGAATAATACATTTAGTCAGATGAATATAAAAAAAACTCGACAAAACAAGATTTTAACATAATTACTTCAAAATATATTCAAAATACCTCCCAGAAGATTTTTGTAAATATGTACACTGTTAAAATTTTCTTTCTAAGATTACGGTAGAATAACCGGCAGGGAACTGTTCATCTAAGTAGCAGTAATGTTTAAGGTTAGGAGTATTTTTTACTTTTACGGTTTTAAAATTATTTACTTTGATTAAAAATTCGTTTTTAATCAGGGTTTCATTAAAAATTCGTGAACGCAAAAATATACCGTTTTTAAACATTTACAACAAACATTGTTTCTAGACCGTAAAAATGAAATTTAGATGATCATTGGAGTTATGTTATGTATGTATTATAGGCTTTTTGTAGGTATTATAGGTAATAAACATTAAGATTAGACTGTGGTTGAGTTATCTGTCAAAAAAAACGTAGAATTTGGTTTAACTAGTTTATTTGGTGGTGCCATGTAACACGAGAAATGGAAAATACTACAAATTTTGTGTAAAACATTTATATGGTACTACCATCTTCTTGTGCATGAGAGTTTCGTATTCTAATGGTCCAGGGTCACCAACTTTGGAAATTCTTTATGTTTTTAAAGAAGGAAAGATAGATTGTTGTGTCAGTGATGGGATTCGAACTCCTTTTCATTCAGAGATGATATTGACAGATAAACCCTCCCTGCTTATAGTATGTACATAACTGTAAGGGTTTAAGGGGATTCATAAGGTCGGCCTAGTTAGTGCGGATAAAATTCTGGTTGTTTAACCATATTAGGTGATAACAGTCAATCAACAATTTTTTTTACCAGTTAAAAGTCTGAATATCATCTTTTTATGATTATTTGACTGTTTCAATTGAATATGGTAAAATAACAATTTAAAAAAAATGCCATTGAAACATATTTTTCGAAAAATTTGTTACAGAGTAATTATACTGTGCCCAAATTCACATCGATAAATGTGTTTTCAAATAGTATTCAAACATATTTGATACCCTTTAACTTTCGCTAAATATCCCTTTACTATAACCTTCGTTCTAATAAAGAATTTTTGAAAACATATCTTATAATGAAACACGTGAAGAAAATATACCCAGAAACATTTGTAGTTGCCGATAAAATATTTTAAGATAAGTTCTACAAATTAACTTCGTTTATCATGCAGTTTACATAATTCATGACAATGCAAATTAATCTCAGATTATGTTCGACAATTTCGCAATTCGGGAATTAATGCCAGCATTTCTATTAAATTCACAGCACATTTAATATTCATGAGTCACACTGTACCAATCTAGTTCCGAAAATATGTTTTCCAGAATTTTATATTAATAATAACTTACTTCCAAATTTCTCATTTTTTTAAACATTTATACGCTTGTCATTCCATAATTAAATTCACTTTAATTGAATTTGAAAATGTCACTTACTATTTTTTGTCGAGAAGAATTTTTGTAACAATTGAATTATTTTAAAACTATATTAAGACTGATGATGTAATTTTTAAAGCTTTCGTTACTTTATAATACTATTAAAAAAATATCTTTCAAATATTAAAATTCTGAAAATTAACTTAGATACTTCTACAAAAAGTGTAAAACTTGTTTTTTAACTTGTTTTCTTAAGCATTAAAAAACTAATTTTTTCCTAATTTATTAAAATAAGTGTAAAAAAGCTTATTTAAAATAGTTGCAAGATTTGAAACTCTTTACTTGATTTGATTCTAAAATAAATTATTTGCTTAAAAAATTCTTCAAAATAAATTTGATGGATAAGTTTTAGAAAATACTTTGAAAATAGCTTAAATACATAGCATGTTTTCAGCATTCTGAATGGGAAAAAAATCATTCATCTATCATAAATACACAATTTGCTTTTCACAAAACTTACGTTTTATTTTTCAAAGTACTATTACATTACAATGCTATATCAAGCTATTTTGTTTCAGATAAAATGTTTCATTTTCAATTTCTTATTACAACATTGCTAGTTTAACGTTTAAATATGATCTCAGAAATGTGACCAGTAGTAGCCAGGGTGACTTAGGCCATTGTGGCTCTTTACCCAATCATCATGATATAAAGGAACTTGAGGTGGATTGCTTGAAATCTTAGTGTCCTAGAAATAAAATCAGTGAAGTTAGTGTAAAAGGATTTTTTTATGGCAGATTTATTTTAAATGCTGATTGACATAAAAAATTTGAAACATCAAGAAACAATCATTGTATGATTGCAGCTGTTAGTTAAACGCTATGGAATAGAAAGCAAATATTCAGTTTTAACTATTCTAGTTCTTATTAAATGATGAATATTTAATTAATCCATGTTAATATTTTTTCATTTAAGAACTGATATTCATTCTTCTTATAGATAGTAACCGGTTATCACTCGATTGTATTTTTCTTAATGTTTATATTTATTATCTAAAAAAACAGTATGCCAATATAAATTAATCACGGAAACGTTTATAAAAATTCAAACATTGCTATCAATAAATACATATAACGCAATAATACGTAACATATCTAAAATGCTTAAATATTTCTTTGATATATTTCGTAAATAAGTTTAATATCGTAAAATCATCAAGATACGGTTAAAAATAATTAAGATACGGTATTGTAAAATCATCATCAATTAATAAATTAAAGTTTATGAATAAGAAATTGATATAATAGTAGTAAAACGTAATACTACTAAATTCTGTAAGTGGTAACAATTCAATATGTGGGTCATTTTCAAAATTTTTTGCATTTGAAAAATTTTTCTTCAAAAAATATTCGAATTACTACTTATAGAAATTTCAGCAGTTTTTAATTATTTCTTGTCCATAAAACTTGAAACAGTGGTACAAATTTTGATTTGGAACATAAAGTAAAAAATAAGTAAATAAATAAATAAAATTTAACTTATGTTATTAATTAACTGATGCTCAAATGTGTTTTAATAAAAGAATAAGTTCTTTTAAACAGTATGCAACTTACACTTGAGTCAAATGTTCTTAGTAAATAAATAAATTCTTGTTTGTTAAATTAGATAGAAAAATAAAGCTTAGTAGTTGTAACAGTATAATGTTAGTAACAGCCTGAAAAAAAGAAGACAGAGGGGAAAGGCTATTAGAAAAGCTAAACTTTAAATGTTCTTGCATTGCAAATTACTAAATTTTAATAATACAAATGATTCCTACCTACATTTCTTTTAATAAACTTAATACGTAAGCTAAAAGTCAATAAATAAAGTTACCATAATAATGGTAACTTAGTGAAAGAGTAATAGAAAAGGAACTGTAGGAAAAAGTACTACAAGTCAATTTACTTGGACAGGAAATTGAAAGCAAGAAATTTTCATAAGAAACTTGAAAAGTTTAATATGATATTATCATAAAAAAATCAAATTAACATTGAAATAAGAAATTTAAAGCAATTATACCAGTAATAAAAGAGAAAGTGACAACAACTGTGGCAAGAGAGTGGAAAAAATCCTGCGCCATTTTAAATAAAAATTATTTGATCATTATTCAAAAGTTATATATGTATGTATATCATCAGATCTATTGCTGAATGATAATTTGTGAAATCTTAAGTTTATAAATTTTAATATCGTTTCAAAAGGTAAATGAAAATATCAGTGTATAAAATGCATCTATTGATAATAATCTATGCTAATTATTTTTAATAATTGGTCTGTAATCAAAGTATAAAGTTTGAAATTGACAATAACTAAATTTATTCAAAGACGACCATGTATTAAGAATGAAGAGGAAATTAATAGTTTGTTAAGGTTAATTAAATTCGAAAAGATAAAAAAAAAAGTAAAAAGAAATGTATAGTGAAAATTATTTGGTCACTTCAGTAATATTAAAGTGTTTTAAAAATACTATCCATACCAGAATTTCGGAACATTTTGGTATATATTTAGTTACTTTCGTACATTTAGTATTTACTAACAATTTTGGCAGAATTTCTGATATGTAGAGTATTTTCATAATACAGTGTTTTAAAAATGCTATCCATATGAGAATTTTAGAAAATTTTAGTTCATATTTAGTAATTTTAATACATTTAGTATTTACCATATATTTTAATTGAAATTCTGGTATGGAGAGTATTTTAATTATACAGTTTATTGAAAAATACTACCCACACCGTAATTTAGAAAGTTTTAGTTCATATTTAGTAATTTTAGTACATTTAGTATTTGCCATATATTTTAATTGAAATTCTGGTATGGAGAGTTTAGTGTTTAAAAAATATTATCCATACCAAAAATTTTAATACATTGAGTACATTCAAATATTCATCAAAAACCATTTGTTTTTCCCTTTCACCCTAGCTGTTACTCTAGCTCTTAGGATATTTCATCCTTACTTGTTGGCGACAAAATTCTTTCGTAACAAAGATGCATTACACCATTACCGACAATTTATTTCCATACCGATAAAAGGAATGCTAGAAAAAAATCTGCTTCCATGTCTCCCAACCATAAATATTTTATTTCATGAAGAAAAATAAATGAAAGAACACATCTTCACCTTTACTCATTTAGTGTCAAACTCTCCATTTATCAGTTGAGTTAAAAATTAATTATTGCGGAAGAAAAGCTTATTTTTGCATTTTGTTTACTTATTTTCAGAGCCACGGAAGAAATATTTCATTATGTATGAAGTAATTATTATGAAGAATGAAAAAGAATCCCTTGGCAATATTTGAGAAATTGCTTAACTTTTCTTCTCCGACGATCACTATCTTTCTAAAGTAGGTGTAAACAAATGAGAAAATCCTCTTTTTGTTGGCGGAGAATCGCCAAACACATACTCAATGGCAACCCTGGAGGGGTATAGGAATTCCCAATACAGAAGAACCACTCGCGGAGCTAGGAGTCGTGCGAAGAATAGTGTTCCGCCAGATCCAAATCCTTTTAAGGTTATTTCTTTACCTGTTCGGAGACTTTTCTGCAATACTTAAAGAAAAGAAGGAAAAGCAATCTACTAGTTTACTTTAAAGAGTAAAGGAGTATCACTGGATTAAAGTTGTTTTCTCTAGTTGTGAAAACTTTTCACGGGATATTTCTCAAAAATGTTGTGAAAGTTTTTTAGTGAAGAAAAGTTTTTGGAGTAAAAAGTTTTACCTACATGGTTATACGGAGAGTTTCGGTTTAAACTTTCTAACTTCGCGCACACATTAATCATGGAATTTGTGCGTTTATGTTTGGTCTTGAGCTTAATTGTGACTGCTGCTCTGCAAGTTTCTTGTTCAGATACTGTTTATGAAGCTCTAGGAAGACAGCCTGATTTAAGCAAGGTATTCTAAAAACATTTTTAAAAAGTGTTCTTCTGAAATTTTGTAAAATTTTTTAATGAATATAATAATGTAACAACAATGTTACAAATCTTAAATTTTCTATATAACGAAATACGAATTTTTCTTTAATGAGAAATTTTAAATAATGTGATTTGATTTAAAACATTATTAAATTATCTCAAACATTCAAAGTAAGTTTTATGTTTAAATATTTTAAAATTCAAAAAAAAATATATCAACAAGAAAGTTTCAATTTATATATTTGAAATCACGAAATAACTGCCATTTAATCGATTACACAATGCTCAGAATACCTTAAAAATAATTTATAAATAAAATTAAAATAGACTCATTATGCAAATAAGAACTAAGTTTACAACAAAAACTAACTTGTTTCATTAATAGACTCCAAAATGTTTTGTGATATAATTTGGGAACTACATATTTTTGTTTGCGATATTCTTGTGTTATTTTAAGCGTTTTAGAAATGAGTATGGAAAATTTTGAAATTCGTTCTTAAATGCAACGTTTTAGAGAAACATATTTCTCGATAATTGAATTATTTTTAAGAATTCAAAACGAAGTTGCATAATAAGCAAAACAAAGTGTTATGTCTATTATGGACTGATATATGTTGGATGCGTAGTGATGAATGTCAAATTTATTTTTGGAAAAAAATATAAGAGTGGGAAAGTAGAGGTGTACAACATTTTTTAGTGAATTAACTGAAAGTAAATGAAAATTTTTCAATACACTTTTATATTATTTACATTATTTACACAGAGTTTTGGAATAATGCTTTTTTTTCTTAAATAATGCTCAGAAGTTAAAAAAGAAAGTTGACGTTTTAATAATAAAAGTTTATTCATAAGTTATTCTTTGTGCGAAACTCAAGAAATGTAATGTGATGCCTACACGGAGAAAAAGAATTCTGGTAAAATTACCGTATTGTATGGTAATGACATTTTTCGTAAATAAAATCATAATTGTAACAAAAAAAGGTACTTAAACAATTCAATCGGTACTTCCTCTGTTCATATCGTTACGATTAACCGTTTATTCTGGTTTTCTAATTTATTGTTCCTACTAACACTCATTTAACAAAAAATACAAAACTGAAAAAATAATATTTATCGATTTTAAATTTTATAATATGTTCTAAGCTATTATGATAAAATAATTATATATATTTTTTTTGTTAATTTTACCAAAATCATTATCAAAATGCCTCGGTAAAAATCACCGAGCTTTTTGATAGCCCCATAGAGTTAGAAGCACTGTAAAATTTACTACAGTTCAGGGTTTCCGCTACGGTAGCTTTTTTCGCAAAATGCGAAAAGACCCCACAAAAATGCTAAAATTCAACAAAGCATTTTCGCATTTTTGCTAAAGGATTTTACTAAATTCCATTAAAAAAAAAAAGCTTCCGCGAAAAACCATGACGCTAACATCCATGAAAAAAACTTGATCAAACAAGAAGGATTGATCAGACAAGATTTTATATACCAATGATGTGTCTGAACAGTACCCATTAATAACTTCTGTTATAGAGTATTGTGCAACAATACCAATGCACACTGTTGACTGTGAAAGGGGCTTTAGCTGCCTTAATTTGATTAAAACTAATATTCGAAACAGGTTGTTAATCAACCATGTAAACAATTTGTTAATGATTAATATTGAGGGCCCTGAAAGTGCATTTAACTTTCAAGAAGCATTTGTAAAATGGGCAAACATGAAAGAAAGGAAGATTAATTATAAACCAAAATGTTTTGATAAATAATAAATGTGTTTTTTTTTGTTGTTATAGGTATTCTTTTTGATATTCTTGTACATTAAGCTATTCTTTGACAGATAACTTACAGTACTTGTTTGATATAAAGTAATTTTATAAGCCTAATGGCATTTTGCTAAAACTTTTTTTCAGATTTTAGCTTTTTTGCTAATGAATTTCTAGACTCAGCTTAAACCCTGCTACAGTTTGGTAGTTTTGACAATAATTTTTTCTCAGTGTAGGTAATTGAACATATTCACATTTAGATTTTCATATTTTAAGAACGTCTGGAAATTTAAAGTACATGAAATCGAATTCAGCCTAATTACCTTTAAAAAATAAATAAATGGCCTCTTTTCCCGTGATTCACCTTATGTAAACTTTTTCGCATCCTGGGAAGACTAAAGATCTAGTACTAAAGTTTCTGAAAAGGAATTTTCAAAGCAAACACTGCATTACAAATAATTTTTAGTAATTTTTCAATTTCAAAAATTTAACATATATCTCTGTTATATAAGAATAAGAGGAAGAAATATTATAACAGTAAATTTTCCTATATTATATTAAAAATATCCTCTCAATTTTTTCACCCCACTACGATGATAAACTTACTCTTTAATATCAATATAAAAATGATTTTCTTTTATTTCTTCAGTTTTTAATTAAAAAAAGTAATAATCCATAGTAAAAAAAACTAAGTCGATAAAATTATAGCCAGTGTAAATGAGAGCAATTTTAATTACAGGAGTTGAACAGGAGTTATTTTTACAACCGAATAAAATACTTTTAAAGTAAAATTCTACAGATAGGACATTCACAGATAGCGGAATCGGTGTGTCTTCTTTTGATTCATATTAATTTTATCAAATTAATTTTCTTTCAAAACTAATTGCAATAAAAAATAACTTAGTGGCTAACTTGCACGATTCTGAAATATTTGTTGCATATTTCATAACCAATTTCGTTATTAAATTGTAAATAGCTACAAATGTTCACCCAATCATATTAAATATTTCAGAAGTTGCTGTTTCTTTCCATTTAAGACTGAAATTATATCGATTTCTAATTTTAATTCATTGAATGCTTAGTTGAAGTATGGAACACATTTTTTAAAATGTCTAAAAAGACAGTCATTGATTTTTTTTTCAATATTTAATATCGTGCCATGCAAAATATATATAAAAATGTTACTAACTCATTTTCTTTTTAAAAAAATAAACTATAAAATCTTTAAATTTCTTACTTTTGATAAAATTGAAAACATTATGATTCAATATTTTTTCATTAATTTTGTATAAAATGTCGATTATTTATCTTATTTGCGGCATTTCTTTCATTTCAGTTTTAAATAAATTTTTAAAAAAATTCGGAGACTCTAGATCATATTTTTATTTATTTTTGTTTTCCTTTTAAAAAATTATAATGCAAAGCCAAAAAATATTTTTTTTTAAATTTCATATCTTTAAATTATAATAAAAGGAAAGCTAAATTTCCTGTAGTTATCTTTAAAAGATTTTTTTAGAAAATTTTTTTAGAAATATTTAATTATTAGAAACTGGAAATAAAATTATAAAATTATGACGAAGAAAAGAGTTTTTAAATCAGCATCACTTTAAGTAAAATACGGGTAAGAAATAGTACATAGCCTTATATGACATTCTGTTTGAAATACATATATGCATTTGCATTTTAATTATAGTGTTTTATTTTTTTTTTGTATTTTTTAGCAAAATATCTCTTAACTCAATTTTGCAGGATAAATCATTTTTAAAATTTAGCTAATTTAATTAGTGCATAATTCATTTTTATTTCATACTTGTTAGACACCCTTATAGATTAATAATAAATTTTAAATATGTTGTTATATATAAATGTTGTTATAATATTATATATGTTGTTATAATATTGAAGAAAATCATAATGAAACTTCTTTTTTCTGCATTGTAATTCTTCTTTAGAAAAAGCAAATGGTATGTCAATATAAAAACTTTATTTTACTGTCATCAAAGAAAATATATTTGGTATCTTCGTCAAATCAAATGACATTTTTAATATATAAAATATCTCTATGTTATCCAGATACTTAATTATTTCCAAAGTTTAAAATATCTCTCAGGAATTAGTTCTAAGCCTTGAAGATAAAGGATTAATCAGTGAGGGCATTTCAATTATTTTGTTAAATTCTACAACTTAATAACCTTTTTTAAAAATAGTTTCGTTTATTTTCTTTATTGTGAGAAAAGCAAAATAGTGAAAATAACTATGTTTCAGTCAAGAAGTTCAGTAAAGCTAGAGAAAATTTATGTACCAATTTAAATACACTTTCTCGCATTTAAATTCTCTCATAAAATATTTCAATTAATATACGATTTACATTTTATGTGCTTTTTTTAAATTTTGAATTTTCATTAGAATTAGTCATTCCAAATTTTGTTTTATGACACATAGCAATTTATTTTCATTAGTCACTTTAAATGCATGTGTATATATTTCTGTGTAGTTCTATATGGTATGTACAAATAATAATAGATAATAATATAAGAATTACATGTATATATTGCCTGTATTTCTATTGCCTACATGCATCTATTACCTGTAATTTTTATTCTTTATCAAAAAATTAAAAAGGTGGTGACAAATTAATTAATATAAAATAAAAGAAGATCGCAAATTAATAGTTTAACGAAGAAAAAAAAACAAGCATGCAATTGAAATCTGTTAAACCTAAGACGAGCACGGGGGTATGAAAAGCATAAAAACCAGAATGGAGAAAAGTTCTTTTTTACAGGTTGATTGATGTTGTAATGAATCGCATTTCAGCTTCATATTGTATACCCTGCACCCAAAAAAATTTTGATGTTTTTAGCTAATGTTAAATTAAAATAGTTTTTTTCTGCTTTTCCCTTCCACAGAACTTTTTTTATCTTGCTGATTCAAAGCATTATTACACTGTATTGTACTGCACTTTTCATAAAATTCCTTTCTTTTTAATTGGAAGTATACTAAAATCATATTAAACTATACTACAAAGCTGACTAAATGATACAAAATAAGATAATTGAAATATGTTTAAAAAATGCTTAAAAGTGTTTTAAAAAATGTAATTAAAAATAGATAAATGAATAAAATTTTTTTAAAGGAAATCTTAATAGTTTCAACCAGTATTAAAAATATTTTACATTGTGTTTTGCTGAAGTAAATTGTTAATTACTGATAAATTAATTGA